CTTCTCTGATCCTCACCTTCTTTGTCTAACTCCCTCAATTTATAATTCTCTCCTAGGATAGATTTTTCTTATCATCTGCTCTACATCAAAATGAGCTCTTTAAAGAAATCTAACATTATTCTATCCAAGTGTGAATTTAAGTCACAATGTTACCTTTTCTAGGGACAGGGGTATTTGGCACAAGAGCCTATCTCTAATTGCAAAGTGACACTCTTAAGAATTGTTTAAAAGAACCTATTGTTCAAAATATATAGAATAAGAAGCCCCATACCATGCAGGACTCACATGCCAGCCAGCTAGACTTCAGGCCACCTGAAGTATTAATATATTTACTCATAAAAGGGATTTGGGAACTTAGAATGTTTTCTTTGAAACTATGCTTCCATTTCTGGCTTCTTTACTTCTTCAGTGCTGATCTAGGTCTACAGGAGAAAAGTGAGACTGTTGTTCCATGTCCTGCTTAAAAAGATAACATTACTTCAAAGACAAGAACAATAACACCTGACAAAAATAAAACAAATTTTCAGTTTAAAAACACTGTGCCTGGGGCTGGATTTGTGGCTCAGTGGTACAGCACTTGCCTTGAATGTATGAGGCACTGGGTTCGATTTTCAGCACCACATATAAATAAAAAATAAAGATCCATCAACAACTAAAATTAATAAAATAAAATAAAAAACCCCCCACTGTGCCTACGTATGCTTCTTAATTTTAACTTTTTCCAGGAATTAAAGTTATTTTGGGGTACTTACTCATGCAATTTTGTTCTAGATCTAGCACCATAAAACCATCTAAATATATATAACATATATATATATATATATATATATATATTTCCAAAAATTTCTTCTTTGATATGAGAGAATTTTTCTAAACCCTTCTCCCCTTAAAACGAAAACAAAACTTAAAAACATGGAGTTAATTCCTTGAACAAACAAAAATTAGATTTTACCCAAGTTGCTTTAAAGAAAATGGAATTTATTTTCTACTTTTTTTTGGAGGGGGAAGGGGGAACAGGGATTGCATCCAGGGGAACTTAACCATTAAGCCACATATTTTTAGTTTTTATTTTTAGAAAACATCTGCTAAGTTGCTTTGGGTGAGACTGGCTTTGAACTTGTAATCCTCCTGCCTCAGCCTCCCAAATTGCTGGGATTATAGGAATGTACCACCACGCCTGGCAAAAAGGGAATTTCCTTTAAATCTAAGACAGATAATACAAACCACCCAAAGAAAACAAAACTAATACTTAAGAACATACTTTTTAGCACTACAGCCTTGTAATATTTTTCTTTAGGTAATTGCACTTAATTGTTATAAATTTAAATATGTTGCACTTCTTGATAGTCACCCTGGCTCTTGAACTGTCAGATAGTGAGATGAAATAAGCTGTTGATGAAACAAAGGAGTCACATAAATGTTTTTTAATCAAAATTGCATTTACATATAATTATAGTCACTTTTTCAATTTATACTTATACATTTATTTGATAACATCTACCAAGAGGTTCTTGTGGACTACAAACCAGAGTTGACATGTTAAGGATATATGTAACATGATTTATGAATAAAGATTTGACCAAATTGTGGAATAAGAATGTATCTTTGATATTTTTAAAAACAGTTTAATATTCTAAAGGTAGATATGTAATTTCCTTCAAATTCATTCATTCAATAAATGTTTGAGTGCCAACTTGTGCCAAATACTATTCTAGTTCCTAGAAAACAGTGATTATCAGGACACACATAATCCCTGTCCTTAAAAATGATCACACTCTGGTGGGAGAGACTGATTTTAAAACTCAACACATGAATAAAATATTTATAAATTATGTTATGAAGGAAATATACAAGTTGCAAACCAGGATTTGGTGCTGGGAAGAAGTTTCTACAGGGTAAAGCTATGTGAAAAATGGAAGAGGTAAGGTATGTTTTCTCCCTGTCTTGTCACCCCCTTGTCAAAGTGAAAATTTAACTCACCAACTGGATACAGTGGCAAAAGAATATGGGTATTCCATTTCCCTGGTAGTATATTTTCATGTGCAGTGCAATTATGGCAAAGAACACAAATATACGCATCCTATAATTACTACCAAAATACTGTGGAGACAATCTTGAATTACTGCAATTTATGTAAGGGTTCCTTCCCATGAGTGGATTTCATTGTAAGTTTTAGTGCCAGGACCATAGCTCCAGAAGCATGAAACAGAACCCCAATCCTAGCATGTAAACAACCTTGACTTCCCTGAATGAGTTGAATACACTATGATCTGCAAATGAGAAAGGAGCATGTGATGTTAAAGAAAGGAAAGGTGTACAAGGTGGTCTAACTCAGAGCAGCCATTGAGACTTTTGCCACTCCAAAATCTGAGATCCATCTCCTTCCTGTGTTCAAGAATCTCACTCCTGGGGAGAGAGGGTAACCCAAATATAAACTATCAGAAGGCTCAACCACTAGAGGGAGAAAGTGTGCCTCTGGTGACTAGGGAGCCAATGAAAGCAACTCATTAAAAGGAGAGGCTTCAAGGGAGCTAAATTAAGCTCTAATCAGTCAGGGGTAAGACCTATATCAACCATGGAAGCCTTGGGAAACTTCATGATGAACCCATAAGACTTTACAATTGATTCTCTTCTACCAAAGAATTCAGTTGCTTAAACTATCAAGATATTTCACCTTTGAATGTTTTAATTCATGGTTTCTAAGCACCTCTTTAACTTTGCACATACTTACAATACTTAAGCTTAGTTTCCAGGAGGAATGACAATATAGAGAAGCTATGTGACCCTTTATATACTGGCCATTTACATATTATGAACAAAATTCCAATTTTCTCAGTTAATTTAAGATTAAAATCTTTGCTATCCATTGGGATGATTAAAATGATTTGTGGGTTCTGTTTAGTCTCTCCTAAATATGACTTTAGAAAAATTAATTTTATTTTGATCACTGGAAGATAGGTAAAAAAATTGCTTTACCAATATGTAATTCACAGGCACAGTAACTATCTTAAAATCATTAGAAAGTTGTTCCAAGCTTGAGCCCAAATGATTTCTCTCCAATCTTGTTTGCTGTATGGCATCATAATTTTCCCCACTCCCCCCATCCAAATAAAGGGAAATAAAAGGGAAAAAGTGATTCTATTGGCACAGTTGATCAATAAATAAATACAATATATGGAATAAATCTCAAAAGGAGATCATTAAAAAAACTTAACTACAGTATTACTCAAGTTATACAGTATCCATTATTTAGACAGTCTCATTGTGAACGAATTCTTCCCTCACACGAAAAATCTAAAGAAGACATTTCCCCAAATTTCCCAGACATACACAGTGGTGCTTAAGATAAAGTTGATAATTTTATTTTCTATGTGTCATTTCTCTTTCCTCAGAGGGGGGGGGGCGGGGAAACCCTCAGCAACTATTTCTGGGATTCTTAAAAGGAGTAGGAGGAGTGGAGTACGGTGCTGCATTGATTTTCTTCACAATCTGTGATATGGTTTCTCAGAAATGCTGTTTGGCAGTCCTGATAATTTCATGTGTTTTCAAACTTAACCCACCCAGACTACACAGTTCAGTATTTTCAGCTCCTTTCATTTTCCTTTTCCCCTTTAATTATAGATGTCTCCATTCCCTCTTTTTTGCAAATGTGGTTAAGAAAGATACTAAATGCTACTATTGTAGAAAGAACATACATTTGTTATTCTCATGACGATTTCTAGAAATTCTTCCAAAATACAGAGGCTGTGATCGATGCTTTTTGCTGGGCAACACTTGAATGAGGGTCCACTTTTTTGGACCCTCATTCGTCCCTCTGACTTGGATGAATGTGGCACTTGCCGGGGGGAGAAAAAGCAAGTAAACACTCTAATTTTAAACTTGCACTGTAAAGCACTTTCAAAATAGTCATAGTTGAGCTTCATCTCAGACCTGAATTTCTGCCTGGGTCCATTCCCGAGGGCCCCTCTATTCTGCTCGGTGTCCTGGTCTACCAGGTGCCCTTTTGTGAAACTGCACCGTAGACTTGACTGCGAAGCCCGGGCGAGCTGGTGGGTGGGTCCAGGCGCACACCCCGGCTCGGACCAGCACGCCGATCCCAGAGCTCCGCGTCCTGCGCCGCGACTGCCGTCCCGCTCCAGTCGCCCGGCCTCTCCACGAATCCCAGTTTGAAAGAAAACTTCACGCGGCCGAGATGAACCTCCCTGCACCGTTCCAATCCTTCCTTCCCGGCGGGACGAAAACGTGAGATTTATTAGGAACCTGGGGGTGTGCGTGTCTGTGTGTGTGGGGGGGGGCCGCCGCCGCACAGCCGGAGCGGGTTACCTGCCCTCCCCCGGACGGGGGCGGGGTCCGCCGCGGCGGCTGGCGGGCGGGGGGCGACGCGGCCGGGCGCGCGGGTGGGCGCGAAGGAGTGCGCGCGTCGCGGAGCCGCCGGGGCAGCACTTGTCCTGTAATCGATTGCCGAGCGCGCCGAGCGGCTGAGCGCGCCGACACGCGCACACGCGCCCGCCAGCCGGAGAGCACACACACGCGCGCACACACTCACACTCGCACCGGCGCTCGGGTCCCGCACACACGCACGCCCGCGCGCGCGCACGCACGCCCGCGCCCGGGGCCCAGCCGCCCGCCGCCCGCAGCCGCCGCCGCCGCCGCCAGCCCGCCCTCCGCCCGCGGGCGTCTGCGCGAGCCCGGCCGGCTGGGGAGATGTGCTCGGGCTCCGCCGGATCGGTTTCTCGGGGTTTGACCAGCTGTCCCGGGCTAACCCTGCTCCTCGCTGAAGATGGAGGAAGTAAAAACAGGATTACCCTTAGCTACAGATCCACTGCCTTAGTTTCCACCACCAACTGCAGTGCACAAACACACGTTAGGCACAGGAAAGAAAGAAAGAGAGAGGACACACTAACAGTAAACACAAACAAAAGGGTGATGGGATTATTTTACTGCATGCACTGCTGAGGTAAATCTCCGCTTGGCTTTTGCGTGGGGAAGAAGAGCTCTTGTTTTATTTGTCTTCTGATTCATAGATTATATATGAATTTGTGTATGATTTGCAAAGGGGGGAGTGTTTTCAAAGTTAAGTGTAATTATATAGCATCTCGTTTTGCACTGTGATCAAATGACTTGTTGCTGTTAACCAGTGATAATAATAATATAGGTGTTTTTCTCTGGGAGGGATGGATTGTGGTTATGATTAGGGTAATGATTTCTGTTAAGGACGCTCAGGAAATCGGGTTGAAGATGATGTCCTCTGCCTTAATTTATCTTCCCCTCCTTGTAATCTGTTTCTGGGATGTTAATCGATTAATCAGTTCTCATCTCTATAGCTGTCACAGATTTGGACTTGTTTTGCTTTGTTTTAACTTGAATTCTAAGAAGAAAGATTGGATAGACTGGAATAAATTGCAGCTGTCCAGATAAGGTAATATCCAGATCCTGTTGGGATTGAAAAAAACAAACAAAACAAAACAAAACAAAAAAACTGGTATGACACATGTAAAAAGGCAGCAGTTAAATCACTTTGACAGGTTCTGGTATGGGCGAAAGAGATGGAATTAAGATTTATTTTCTCTCTCTCTCTCTCCTCTCTCTTTCTCTCTCTGTCTCTCTCTTTGCCAAAGGCCAAAAACAGTCCTGTGAAGTTGGCCTGGGTTCCTTGCTGGGTTATGCCTGACTGTCCCTCCCCTCTTACCCCCCCTCCCCTTTTTTTCTTTCAGTTTTCTTGTCTTAGCTTTTGGTCGATTCTTAAGGAACCGGTGGATCAAGTTTTTTCTCTTCTTGTTAATCGCATTGCTGTAGCACTGACTGACCTCTCTCTCTCTCTCCCTCTCCCTCTCTCTTTTTTTCCTCTTTCCTGAAAGTACGTGGTGCCATTCCTGAGTGACTTTTCCTACTAGACCATCCCAAAGGGACGAGGGGGAGGGGTGGAAGAAGAAGGAGGAGGAGGAGGAGGAGAAGGGGGGTGTTCCTTCTCTCTCATTTCTTGGTTTTGTTTATCTGCCGATCTGTTTGCTGGATTTGGGCTTGGAATGACCCACCTGTAAAGTGCTTTTCCTTCCTCCTTGCCTTGAACTCTGCAGGGGGCTTGGCTTGGAGGGGGCCAGAGAGGGAAAGAGAGAAGGGGGAAACACAAAAAACTTCTTTCTTTCTCTCCGTTTATCTTCAGCCCGACATTGTCACCTCCTCTTTGAGGGGTTAGAAGAAGCTGAGATCTCCCGACAGAGCTGGAAATGGTGATGAATCTTTTTTAATCAAAGGACAATTTCTTTTGTATGTACATTTCGTTTCTCTTTCTCCTTTTTCTTTATTTTCTTCTCTGAGGGTTAGTAACCATTTCATTGATGGGGCAGACTTCTTTCACTTCTCCCTGACGTTTCTTTCTTTTTAATATGTGTATGTTAAATGTGTACGTTTTTAAAGAGATAAACTCATTTGTTAAATATCCGAAGAAACTGCTCCCCTTTTGAACTTCCCGGATCCCTTTCCTTAAAGCCTTATGTAATCATAATTTGAAAGAATTTGATAACAGGACAGCAGGTTGAAATTTAAGTGCTATGTAGTTTCAGAGTTGGGAATTTGATCTGATTATTCCACAAAGAAAGAAAGAAAAGTTTTTTTTGGTGGGGGGGCGGGTAGGGAGGGTGATGGTGAAGCAGGGGAGGGGAGGGAGAAGGGAAGTGGTTTTGGAGACAAGAAGTGAAGCTGCCTGTTTTCCAGTAAGTAATGGAGAAATTCCAGGAGCCAGGGCTAAATATACTTGGCGATCAATACAGAAATGGCTCATTGTGAATAATTTAGCTGCTGGTGCAGTGAGAGTTTTGAAACTAACGGCAAAAAGGACCAGGGCCAAAAGAAAAAAAAATAAGTAAAAATCTCTTCAGGACTTGTCAATTCTTAAACTTTTTCCTTCAAAGAATACAGTTAGATTATTGATCTTTTCATTATGTGAATCAAAGCTAGGGGGTGTCATCTCATATAATTTATTTTTGTTTCTGTGAGTTAAGTTCTGTCTTGTGTCATTGGTGCATGAAAATAATTCCCCAAACTGGAAAAAAGTGATTCCTTTCTGCATAGCCAAAAGTTTCTGAAATTCTTGAAATCAGAATGTATTAAGTAGACTTGGCATTTGTATCCAACCGTGGTCTGGCAGGAAATTAAGGTTACATTGAACAGGTGCTTACACAGAACTTGGGGTAGGCTAAAATGTCAATACAAGTCAGAGAGTTGGCCAAGTGCTGCAGAAGTCTTCAAGACACAGTTGGGCAGGAAGTTTTTTGTTTTGTTTTGTTTTCTTCTGGTTGTTTGTCCTCCCCCTCCCAATTAGAACATGATGAACCAACTTGCAACAATTGTGAATAGAGCTATCTGTATACTGGGGAAGTCCTCAAACTGCAGTGTGATTGTGGGAAGTAGTGAATGGCAAAGAACTTAAGTCCCAGTTGTAGCTGGCAAATTTAAGGTGTATTTCCCTCATTTTTTTTTTTTTTTGTTAAAACAAATAAATTTTTATTAAAAAGAGCCACTCTTTTCTTGCTACAGCCCATCTCACAGCACACTTATCTTTCCTGTCCTATCTCCAGTAGGAATCAGATCATTTGCAGAAGGAGTTCAGTGACTTGCAAATGAGCACATACAGTACACTGTAGTATGTTTCTTGGGCACAGGTTGAAGCAGCAACATGGTCTAACTGCTTGGAGCTTCAAATAAGAATTTAATGGCAGATAGCAAAAGGAATCACTGTGTTTAAGGGTATAATTTCTTGTTTTACAGCATTGCACTTTGACTATGGAAACAGAGGCTATTGATGGCTATATAACGTGTAAGTATTCATTTTTCACTAATTTGTTATTGATGATAAAGTTACCTTTGTATATTACTTGGGATATAATTAAGAATTCTGTTCTCTTATTTTTTTTTCACAATTTTCCTTTAAATGAGTTTGAGAAATAGCACAGAAACGAGATATATCAGAAATATAGAAGTATACCTACTACTTACTAAATTAAGGATAGTATTTAAGTCAGTCACAGCTTAGCAGATCAACACTTTTCTACTTGATTTTTTCCCCCATTTACTTTTAAGTTTAAAATAGGTTAGGTTATTTACGTATGTACTAGTATGCTGTGTACTAAATATTTACTACTCTGTAGCCTAATTTTTCTGGACACATAATGTGAAAGAAATCAGCTTCTTTTAAGTTGACATTTTTTTTTTAGCAAACTCTTTTTTCAGACATTTAACTTTGTAACAGGCAGCATTTTGGAAAATGCTTATAATACATTCTTTATGTTTAATAATTAAATTAAACGTTAAAACTTATCTTTTTTCAAGGAAAAGATACTTTAGAAGTCAACTACTTCATTTCCCCTTATTTGATGTGTAAGAGCATTGTGATAATAAAGTTTCGTTAATTTTTTTATTGTGGGCTGATTGTGGCTTTTCGTCATTTCATTCATTGACTATGTTTCTAAAAGATATTTCCTTATAGTTTCTTTTAAGGGAGAAATGTACTGCTTAAAAATTCAAGACTATGCATTTCACTGTGTATATGAAGCAAAGTTAGTAATTAGATTTTTTGTGACAATGAACAGAGACCAAAAGATTTTATTTTTGTGAAAACAGGTGACAATGAGCTTTCACCTGAAAGGGAGCACTCCAATATGGCAATTGACCTCACCTCAAGCACACCCAATGGACAGCATGCCTCACCAAGTCACATGACAAGCAGTAAGTCTTCATTTTATGATTTTTTTTTCTGTTTCTCAAGTGACAGATTTGAATTTGTTAGGTCTGTGGGGTCTGCTCACATTGTGGTGTTGCTACTGCTGTAGATTTTGCTAAAGAAAGAACAACATAGATTTATTCCTGTTCATTCTAGTATCATAAAACATGAGCCTGCTTACTAGTCTGAACTATCCCAAGGTGGCATTTGGGAGCTGGTGCTTACCTGTATCAGGTAAGAAATGTTAGAATCTGCTGATTAGTGTTTTGACTTGGTGAATTTCTATCTGGATTTGTTATTGTTGTTGTTGTTGTTGGATTAAAAAAAATATGGAAACATGTCACTTCCAAAGGACTTTTCCATTGGAAAAGGACTCTTGCAGCATATTTAAAAAATAGCATTATTTTATGTTATCATGGTACAAAGCTAAACCATTGTATTATTTCTTGCTTAAAAGAGAAGGTGGTGGGGGGGGGGGAGAGAGAGAGAGAGAGAGAGAGAGAGAGAGAAGAAAATGTTAGTTTCTCCTCCAAAGCATTGTAAGTGGAATATAATTGAAATTTATCAAACTCATTTATATTCATTTCTCTAACAAAGTTGAAAGCATTTGTTTCAGATTGTCCAGGAGAGAGTTGTGAAAATTTGGAAGGATGTTTTGAATTTGTAGGAATAGACAGTTTTGGCTGCTATTTTGATAAAGGGTCATTCGTTGATGTAGTATACTATGTTTCAGTGTAGTAAAAAAGCAACTTACATGCAGTCAGTGACACAAGACAAAATACTTACAGTTATTAAGAATATGGTTTATCTTCTCTTAATGTTTTATCAGCAAATCAACTGCCAGTACTCTGTTATTCCTACTCAAAAGTAATTTGAAATCTTGTTTTCTTTATACTTTTGTATTATCTTCCTATATGGAAATGACAGGATTTATATGTAAATATAATTTAAATGGCGAGTTTTCTGTTGATGCTATGTGAAGGAAGGGCATTTCTTTTCTTTTGTGAAGACTAAATTGAAGAAAACCGAATCATCTATTTAATTTTAAGCATATACTTAATTCTAATTACCCGAGAGAAATTTTCCTTTCCACTTGCCTCTTATAGCCTTTTAAACTTAAGTTATTTTAAAGTTACAAGCTTTGTAACTAGTTAAGCTTACTGAATTATAAGCAAACGTATTTAGATTACTCTTGAATACATTTTGCAATTCATTAACTTTAAGCGATCTTGGATTGAAATATTTGAATTTACTGTATTTAAAAGTTTTCTTCTTTAATAATGGAGGAGTTACTCAGAAAATTTCATCATTCTAGCAGTCCTTGAAATTCCTTTACTGTGTAGAAAAGAAGAACTAAGAAAGTTATTGAGTGCATATGTACTAAATTATATTGCTAATTTCTTATATTATGTCTTGCAGCATTAATTTGTGTTTTCTGTGTTGATTTGATAAAGGTTATTCTCTGTAGCAATGTAGGCAATAAGAGTTTTTACATTTAATATTTAATTGTTGTTGTTGTTGTTGTTGGATTACTAGTTCTTTGGCAGGATATGTTTTTATTTCACAGAAACTTTCTACATGATTTCCTAAAAAGTCAAGACAGGTTTGCATTATAGTTTCTTTTTATTAAGTATTTAACTATTGGATTTAGAAATATTGAATATATGGAGTAGAGAGTAACTGTTACTCAGACTTGACTGTCTTACACTGGTCACCACCAGAATATCTGCAAGAAAATGCTGGTTAATTAGTTAATTAGCCCCTTCATTTGTGAATTTGATTCAGCTTTTGCAGGTACTTGCTTCAAAAAGGCAGTTCACTCATCTTTTAAAATAAATAGTACGGAGTATAGGCATGATTAATTTGAACAAGTAAGAAGTGTGCTTTTGACATTCAAGCTTTTCTCACCCAACAGTAAACTTATGTTTGGTAAAGAGTTTCTTGTGGTGTTGTGTGTTTTTTTTTTTTTTTTTTAAACTTTCTAGCCTGGGGCAATTCCATGTTAGTATAGTTTTTGGCTGAACTGCACATGTTTTCAGGTTCTTTTCCAAAGAGTTGCAGGTTAAATATTTTGGCTTTCACTTCAGAGCTGTCTGTGCATCCTTTATGTAGCCTCTATTTACAGTATCTAGGTTACCCACTTAGGTGTTAGATGGAGAAGATACCCATTTTTCCTCTCTTAGATCTAGGAGAATATCAACATTTTAGATTGCCAAAGTAAATGGGGTAGAGAGGAACTCTTGACCATTAATTAGAACAGGGAGCGAGAATTGGTCACTCGGTTGCTTTTCTGTGACTTAGAATACTTTTTGGGTATGAGACCTGTCAAATCACTTGTATCTGAGATCACTAGTTTTCTATATCCCTTTACACACACTGTTGATTTTGTTAAATGAAAATAGCTTATTTTCCTCATTTTTTGAATCTTCAAATATACTTCTAAAGGACTGCTGCTTCCTAAAACAGAATAAGTAAATGCAGAAAACTTTATGATAGAATAAGAGAGTCTCTAGTAGCAAGGAAGAGAGGTCTGTATGTAATGGGAAAAGGAGGAAAAATTATTTTTAAATATTTTAGAAAAAATAAAAGAAGTAAAACCTTTGACTTTTATAAACCTACTAACATTCTGGCCATAAAGTATTAATAAGATGTGATAGATAACTTATTTGGCTTTAGGAAAGTGGTCAGTATCACTATAGGGTCCTAGTCATTTGTTCAGGGTATTTGGGGACTATTCCAAGATGAAGGGTATCTGTACAACTTGCTGCCAGCTATTGTATAAAAAATAATGACAGCAGCTATCATTATTTGACAGTGCTAGAATAGAGTACTGGCGGCTTGGGAGAGAACTAAAAATGTGATAATGCCTGACATTTTTTAGTTTTAAATTTCAGCGTATAAGATAACCTTGAAAAGAAGTAAGAGGTATTAGTGATCCTAACATTCTATAATGACTACTTCCTATGTTTTAGACTGAATTTTCATGGTGAACTTTTTAGACTTTTTATTCTGGAATAAGGATCTCTTTGATAAGAGGATGGGCACTGTTGCCTGGGATCATTAGTGTACATACTGAGTCTGCTGACAATCTTCGATGTCAGGGATGACAGAATATGCCTTGATGGCTACTGGAAATACACAATGTTAAGTGATTTTAAAAATAGAATCTGGAAGTTAAGAATCTGAGATAGACAACTCAGACAGAACAATATAAAAATAATCCATATTGTGTTTTGGTCCATCAGATGAAACTTTGTGATTCCTTCTGATTCTGGGTTAGCTTATTTCCAATTCTTGCATAGTTGCTTTGCTATCAGTTTTAAACTGTTCAATACTTACAGCTGACTATGTTGAAAAAAAATTAAGGCTCAAAAATTATAATTTTTTAAATAATGCAAATATGTAAATGTTTTGTAGATAATTACTTAAATGATCTATGAAAATATATTGACAATTTGTTTCTCTTACTTTAAAACCTTTAGGTGGATCAACTATATAGTCACTACTATTTATCAGTCAGTTTGATGGCCTGGTGGCATGTATGGAATTGGAAGAAGTAGTAATTCCAGTGTTACAAGGCTCTGACCATTAATCAGGTCAGGGAATCTAGTTTATTCTTTTCATAGTGCTTCACATTCATTTTTTTTCTTAGTTTCCATTTTTAGAACCTAGTGAAGCAGAAGTATATTATGATTTCTATTTTTCATATGTGGAAATTGAGGCTTGAAGAAATCAATTGACCTGTTAGGTTGCTTAGCAGAAAGATAAAATTCTCAGGGTT